TATATATAGAGATCCCGAATGGGGAAGACGCGCTCTAAGCAAGACGACTAGGGTTGAAATTAGCGACCTCCTGTATCCTGTTGCCAATAAAAGCTTCTTCCCACCGTGTCCTATTGCGTTTACTTTTCAGAAAATATAATCGAATGCTAGATTTTTTAGAGAGATTAGGCAGTATATATATATATATATATATATATATATATAGGCAGTTGGAATGTTACCAACAGTTACAAGCAAATCTATCGTTTGATAAACAGCAGTGCCAAATGCCCGTGAGGCTATCCGGCACGCATCCAATATCGGTGTCTGGCCATGAGTAAAAGGCGCAGCTGGTCGAACTTCACCAAGATCCTGACGCACGATAACATGAAACACGCTGGTTTTTGTAGAGGCATCTATGTAAAGTTCCTATAGTTCTCCAACGAGAAGGAGCTTCTACTCCGTAATCAGCTTGATTTGCTCGAACGACCTAATTTATAAAAGGGGTCTAGCAACACCCAGTCCAGTAAATGATCTGCTCGATGAGGTACTGGTATTCCATGTTTGTTCATGCTTGCCGATGGTACCAAGTAACTCTCATCAGTATAGTTCGTCATCAGGCCTTTAAACAAGTCCGGCAAGACAGAAGCGATCTTACTTTGTGACAGAAAAGCATTTAAATAGGACATATTCAACACGGTATCATAGTCGCCCGAATACGACATTCTGTATGAGCCTGCTAACTGTCGGAACCGTTCTAGAACTGTCTTTCGACATGTTGAAATAACGAAAAAAAACTTGTTAGAGCAAGGCAATTTTGTTTAATGTTATAAAGACATTTCAAATCGGCTGTTTTCTCGCCAGTTTCTTCTTTTATCGAGGTACTTTTACAGACATGCGGTGCAAAAAAACTTGTGTCCCTCCCCACCTATCGTAGCACCGCCCTGATCAACAGATTATTCATGCCATAATAATACTAATATCTTTACGCAAAGCTCCGAATGAACGAGGTTCGTCTCCGTCTCACAAGAAGTGTTCCAAGGCTCGACAAAGCGAGACGTATCCATGGCTGGCTTCCTTATTTATTACCACAGGAACACGCAGAAAACTCGATGGTCCGGTGAGGTGTTCCAGCGCTATCTGATATTGAGTGGCTGAGCATTAGCTAAAATTGATTGAATTGGATTTAAAACACTTGTTTTTACTCATCTACTAGCGCCTAATTTAGCGTCAGATCGACTCAACGGTATGAACTATGGTAATGTCTGCTATGCGCGACACGGTTGTCTGCTAATAGGATTTGGCGCTATCTCCAGATGAGAGCCAATAAGACCGTTTTCGATGCAGAGCATTGTGTTAGTGCAAGGCTGGCTTGGGTAACAAAGGCTACACTGCGTTAGCAGGCTCTTTTATCGTTCACGGTCACCTCACTAAATAGGACAAGTAACCTTTCAAGTTCAAACTCGGGCAGGTATCGAATGGTGTATTAGGCGTAAACAGGATGTTTATCAAGCTGTGAGTATCAGTCCACTCCATATTATTGCTATTACTGTTACTATTATATGGTCGTCATGACTATTTGTAGTGTTATGTTTTGGCGTGGCATTGTGTCCTAATTCATCGACAGCGTTTGCAAAACAGTAATTCAAGCATTTTATGTAGTAGAATCTCAATAATTTCTAATCAGCTTTCAATCTGTCTAACATTTGCGTTTCAATGAAGGATTTACAGAATTGAAAGGCACTTTAAAATCAATCATCCCCGTTGTCCTTACCTGTTCCTTCTGGGGGACGTGTGCTACTCACAAAACGTATAAGTGTTCAGTTAGAGTTTTCAATAACAAGCAAGTTACTTACTTCCTTCAGTTGATTGTATGCCTTTGAAGGTTCCGACGTAACAGGTCCGGGATGTACTAGCTTTGTAATATTTTTCGTATACATGTAATCATTTTGTTGTCATTGTAAGGTCTGCCGCCGGACACATATATATATATATAGAAATCGGAAACTTGAACAACTTTGAAAATGGCACGATTAAGCTTCTCGCATTTTTATACATCTCTGATAAGTTGCTCCTATTTGTGGTATAGTATCAACTGAGTGATGTAGCGGAGATTCGTTGCCATAATGCCTTACTTCCACGTAAAACACTTTTATATTCCATTTGTTCAGGCCAAAATTACATATAACATAGACTACTTTAGTTTGCTATGCTAGACATAGCCAATGATCATTAATCCAAGTACAGACAAAGTGGACAGATTACTAATTTCCAGCTTAGAGCTGGACATTTTAAAGGAGACGCGGATTCTAACAGAACTGGGGATCATGCAACAGTGACCTGTATGGTGGTTGTTTGTAGATTTGCTGAGCTAACTTAATGCTAAAGGGGTAATTAGTTGTAACTATTATTCGAAGTTACTTGATTACAAAGAAAATTGATCTCGATAATATATTTCATATATTTCCTAGGAAGACTAATTATAATCATAATTCAAATGATCTTGGTTCGAAACCGGGCATCGAAGTAGTGTTTCCTTCGCACTACAAGGATTGCCAGTTGCCGCAGTGAAGGCAGCAATGACAGACGTGACACTTGAAATATTTATTTAAGATTGCCGGCTACATGTATTATTACTTCTGATACTGATAAATGTTTCGAGTCCTTCTTCTTCAACTCCTCTTCCGCGGGTTCGGTTTAGCATAGAGTAAACCGTATCCCTACACCCGATTTCCTACCTGCATCACACTTCAGCGAGTGTCCTTAAGTTTACATGATAAACACGTTACCGCTTCACCTCCACAGGGACAACTTTCTTTGTCTCCAACTGGTCCTAAATGCTTTTCTGTTGGTGTAACTTGTTGGCAAAAGTCCTTATTGCGCTACATAAAGGTGGCGTATGTAGACGATATGCGTCCTATAGGAACCTATTTAACGCAAGACATCGGAGCCTGATCTCTACATTCCGAAACAGATTTTCCGTATTTTTTTTTTGAATTATGTAACAGCCTAGTTAACAGGCGTCGTTTACCATTAGATTTATCGGAAAACATTATATTACCATAGCTTCTTTAAATCCGTCTAGACACGTAGATCGTACAATCGCTACTGTTTTAGCCAGCCCGTGCCAAAATATGAGACAACATTGTGTGCCGTTAATAAATTTGTTGAGCTGACATTTCCGCACGACTCTATATCTCAAAATGTACTCTGCATTCTTATAAAGACTCAATCAGACTGAAGTACAGCTTTATTAAGTATCTATTTTCCAACAAGTGCATTATGTAATTAAGTAATTACATTAAATATACTTTGTCACGTTTCTTCACTAAATTATTTCACCTAACGGAAAGTTCAAATGAAAAACTATTGTAACAAAAAGACGTCTGAATTATCCGCGCTTCATACTGGCTCGACTTCGCAAACTAGATCGGGTGTGTTTTTCTTACATGTACAAAAAAAAAAAAAAAAAAACAAGTCCTCTGCAATAAGTCAGTGTATTTAAACGAGCTAGGTCAGTTTGCCGTTAGTGTTAGCCTGGAATTTTCAGAGGGTTTGGTCTCCAAACACTTTTAGACCCTTAAGTAGGTTTCAGAATTTTAAAAAAAAAAACGTGAAAACAGTTAACTTATTTTGCCCTATACTTAAATTTTATGCAAGTTGTTTTCAACAAAATATGAATCGAACTGCCAGCATCGGTAAATGGAAGCATCCCTTTGCGTTTGTTAAAATAGGCTTTCTAAATATAATTTTTCCTTAGCAATAGTATATCGCATATATTTTCCAGTTACTTTAAATATCCAAAGCAAAGCTAAGTAAATTTCGTATTCATAATTTCGAATTCACTGTTAGCAATTACAAGCTACCAAATGTAGGATATTGGCAGAGTTGAAACTATAACAGTTATAGAATAATCTCAAATTAATTTTAAGTTCCTATACTTAGATCTCTCCTGTTCTTAGGCATGACCTTATACCTTGCCGGCCTTGATAACCGGTAGCAGTAAAAATGGTGTGTTTTACTAGCATTTGTCGGCTCGTCGATTATGGAAAAATAACAGGCCATTGGCATGAATGCAAAATTAACGAGACGACCGGCCACTAGACATTGCAGCCCATTCATTTAGGTTAAATAAGGTGTATTAGCCCGAACGAGCGGTTATACCAGCGGTCGATAATAGATAATCATGATTTGCCTTAGGTGCCTCGTTGATAACAGTCGAGCCTAGAGGAGTATCAAGCCCCTTATGTGAATTTATAGGCTTTTCGGGGTCCTCCAGTTTTGTTTAAACCCTTCCTACCGAGCGATCTAGGCCTGTTCTTACGGGATCAGGAGCCAACTGTGGCGCGTCGCGCAAATAAATATCTTGAATGTACTCTAAATACAGTTATGTCTATCATATTTTTTACAAAAGCTATAGTCTTATTAGGATGCTCGAAGATGATCATGAACATATTTAACGGTAATGCATCGAGTGCGTAATAAATTTAACAAGAAATATGGGAATTCGCTGATCGTATACACTCACATACCCAGATAGCCTTTCAGCGTTTCACGACTAATCTGCTCGAGGCAATGAATCAGCGGTTGATAACACTAACAGGGACCAAACGTACGGGGAAATTTTCACCGCAACTGGAACGTCTTTTATTTCTCCTACAAGGGCAAAACGCAGTTTTCTTACTGGGTCGTTTGCTCTATTAGGCCAAGGGTGAAGAAAGACATGTAAAGGAAGCAAGTGGGCAGTTTCATTTTTACCATCTCTACATAAGCTTCGAACTACGACATTTTTCGAAACACAAGACGGAACTTCAGCGAAAACGATCAACCCATACATGAATACTGTCTCCGGAAAACCTTTGGAAGTATGAAGTAGTCATCCACAGAACTTAGTTACGTCCACTTTTATAATGGGCGGAAAAATCATCAAAAGGTAAGAATCAGCAGATTTTTAGTGGACATAAAAAGCGAGTTACTGGGAAGCTTCCAGAAATTCTTGAGGGCTTCAGAAATAATAGCACGTTCATTTAGCGGGTCTGTTTAGCCGCAATTCACAACAATAACAGGGTCTTCTCGATAAGTATACGGTTTTTGCCCCTGACAATTCTCTTAAAAGCGTCTAAGTTGATTAAGCAAAATTTTTCGGAAACACTGTCAGAGTAATGCAACCGCCCTCTAAACTTGCGCACCAAAATACGCTAGAATACCTCAAAATGGCGAAAATAAGATGATTTTTTGCCGTAAACTACTCATACCTAAGTAGGCCAATCAGCTGAATTGAAGTTGACAGACACAAAAAGCACTTTTATTAGATATCCTGGACAAAACATCCAAAAACATCTTCTCTACGGAATCAGCTTCTACGGAATCTACGCTTCTGTACGGAAATCAGCAAAGTACACAAGGTGGCTTGCGCTGTCCATAGGCGACGAAGTGTCCTTATCATTAGTAAATGCTCGTCACTGTAACTGCTGCGTGTCAATTGGTCTGAAACATTTATTTGTCCTACCTACCAAAGAAAACTTTACTGAACATTAACGAAAATGTGGGAAATACCGAACTGGGCTATATCTACAAGGAAAAGGATAATATGGATTATACGTAACTATGTGTTGCGCACTATTGTTTTTCTTATATCATTACCTATTTCATGAAAACTTTTTATGGAAGGATGAGTGCGTACTGATATTTGGTTGATTGGAGCCCAGATGTAGTTTTCAGTAGCGCTATATCGATACTTTTTGTACACTTATGAATAATGCAAGCAATAAATAATAATAATATATATAAAGATATAATTATAGATTTCTCGATAGCATGAAGTTCGATAGGGTTGTAACGACAAGCTTATAAAAATACGACAATTATAATAATCATTAGACAAAATATTTTGTTACAAACAGGTACGTTTTTTTTTTTTTTTTTTTTCACTTTCTATTAAGCCATTTCAGTGTTCCACTGCTGCAAGTCGTATGCTAGATAGCATTAAATTTGCAGAACTTGCTTCACTTATAGAATGTGCAACGGAAATATCGGACCTCTGAAAGTAGGCTTTTGTCCTTAAGTGTGGCTTCTGTAGAGGTTTTCTTCCTTGATTTCTCACAGTCATCCATTTTCCTATATATAAATACGTTCACGGTGTTGACAAGATCGATCTCCATAAAGTGGTAAGATATAGCTGTTGATCTCACACTGAGTGACGTTAAACGATGGGTGAAATATGTTTTTCGTCTTTTTTTTTTTTGTAGGTTTGTTACTTACGTGGTAATTTGAAGAACGGTCAAAGACAGACAAGTTTTGTTTGGCCCATCACTGATATGCATGCTCACACAAGCGTTATATTCGTTGCTGGCAAAGCAATGTTGCCTTGTAGCGGAGAGAATCTCTCTTGTAGCGCAGATTTCTACATCGTGCTACGTGTTTGATAAAAGTGGAAGGGTTTCCCGAGTCGTGAATTGTTGCTGCTTAATAAAACGTTCGGTTTGGACCTCTATTATGAACAGCTCTATCTCAACTATGTCCAATATTTAGCAACATGTTCACTATTGAGCCGTTATTATTACGTAAACTATTGAGACTCAGTTGTATATCCATCGCCTTGATGTAATCATCTCCTGATCAGATTCTGATTTTCCTGTTAAACCTAAAGACACGTGCGGCTTTGGGTTCGAACCCGGGCGTAAATGCACTTCGCTTCGTACTGGAATGCATTGACTAATTTCAGTTTAGCAATTATGAAACTTCAGTTGGAAAGAAATATGTGAAGGCTGCGTGATTGCGAGGCCTCATATGCGTGCATCTCACGCCATCTCTTATAGCAGTTTTTCGACAGTTTCAAAAAGCGAAAGTTGTGCAGCTCTTCTAGCCAAGGAAAGAGATGTTATGACTTTTGGTGTATCTTGAAAGGTTCTGAGCCTTTATTCTTTTACCTATGTTATCCTAGATTATTAGTAGAAAAGCCAAATAGTGCGCACCAGCAAAGTGGGGTCACTTCGTGTAGAAAGTCCACGCGGTCCCTAACACGAGAATATTCGTTCGATCATTTACCACTCAGATCCCTTAAGCATAAAGCAGCTGATCATCTTTATTCCTATCGGACGTCAAAATAATGGCCGTTGGCACACAAGCCAATTGAAAAACAGCGTGTTCCAACTGTAGAACGTGTACTGTAGGATAAACTCTTTTGCAGGTGTTCGTGTTTTAAACGTTACATCTAGAACTGGTAACGTCATAGCGCCCTGCGTCCTTGAAATAGGCGAAACTGTTGGTGAGCAAGCGGATTTTTCCATGGACTGCGGCCAAATTGAGAACAGGGTCAGTAACGAACAGCGGGAAGTATATCTTTTGGCAAGGCAGCCCATATACCCACTACACCCACTTTTTTATGCAGGTCGTGACTAAACGGGACTCTACCGGGTTTGGGCGAGCCAATACAAGGTCGGTTCACGGATGTGAAGTACAAAGTTGCGGTAAGAGCTTGTAAGTGGCTTAAAGCAACAGTAGAAAAAGTTTTCGCAATAAAGAGCAATATTCAATAGAGCATAACGGTTCATCAAAGAATGGATTACAAAATGATAACATTGTATTTGTAAAATTAATGCTTCTGAAAAACTATATTGTATTTATTTGACACAGTTCTAACCTATATCTATATATATTTATGGGACGATATGGTGGCACGTTTCATTTGAGGGCTCGCTGAGCCTGTCAGCTGGCCTGGCTATGCGCAGGTAATTGCTACGTTAAATTTCGCAAAACGTAGCTAAACTCGATCCATTGTTCGTTAGTTAGAAATCAAATTTGCCGCCATACTTTTCTTTTGTACTTATTGATTAATAACGTATGCTGATTAGTGAAATCTACCAAACGTTTTGTGATCTTAATAACGCATTAACTATGGCAGCGTTTTTCGACAAAAAAAAAATTAATAAATTATGAGAACCAACAAACAAATCTGAGCTAAACTAGACGGTGCTATTACGTGTCTGCAGCAGGTTCCAGATATTAGCTCAACATCATCCGACACTGTCTATATACATAAATTATGATATAGGATGACACTTAAGTAACGGCTGAAACAATAGTTCGTAGCGAATAGGGAAAGATATGTTTACGTAAATCTGACTTAAACTCGATCTCACCGTACGACATTGTACAGTTCTTGGTAAACATACTAAATCTTAACGGCCTTTCGCGCAGGAGCAGGTTTGAAATAGTGTCCTAACCAATCGTAAAAATTATATACTTAACAGTTATAAATATAAACGGTTTTTCCGGAAGACAAAGCCTATAAATATTCAGGGGCCCGAGGAAAATCCTTGTCGACAAAAAAGCATAAACGAAAGAGTCTTCCCAGCTTGCACTCTTTGATATGGTAAACAGTTTCCTGGAGTGCCGAACCAGATTTCTCAGGCGGAAATAAGTTGAAAAAAACATTGATCTTGACAGCCGCATTGGCTTTTTCGCCCACTGTAAAACGGCGTCACGTTCTCATATTTTATATGGGAAACTAACCTCATAAGAAGCCACTTTGTGAAGGGCTATTGCCAGCAAAAATCTCCACGTCAACCCGAGTAGTTGATGCGACTTGTCTTAAAAGGCCGGCAAAGGACGTCTCGTTGCCGGTTGTTGACATGCGATGGCTGATGCAGTCGAACGTGCGCGTACAGAAACAGAGAGGATTTCTTTTGCCGTAACATGTGGTAAGACCGTCCACAATAATAAAATAATTATTGACTGATTATTTTTGTGACATTTGCTTTTTTTTCCCTTTCGTCAACACCCTTGGTTTTTCTAACTCTCTGAATAAGGTCTCGGAATCAGTTTTTGGGAAAGCATCAACAACTTGCCCTCACTAAGAGATCTAGCTAGGGTAGGCCTCTATGGACGTGTCTGGTTTTTCTCTAACGGATCTATGACAGCCATATGCCGTGCTAGCTATTCTCCAATACCGCTAAAATTCAAATCAGCAAGGGCTACATGCTCATGGGTGTAGATGCACATAAGCCACCCAAACCACACCGTTTTAATAATGTGTGTTTTATGTGAGTATATATTGCATGTTAAATCTAGGCTTAGAAACGTGAGAGATAGAAATATGAAAATGTTTTAAATCAGAACTATCATGATTTATTCAAAAAAGCAACATTTGTAAGGATGCTGTCGTATAAATAGACGCTTTGAGCGGCGTCTCAATAGGAGCTAGGTGTACCAATGTTCGGCCTTTTCGGGCTTCTGTTACATTAATGCGTTTACCATGAAAATCAACGTTGATCTAAAGTACCAACAGCCCTGCTTAGAGGATACTATTGCTAGGCCTGGCGACCGATGGGTTTTTATCCCGACAATTGCCATTGTACATTAGCTGTTGCCCACGTATAAATTGGGGATACTCTTTACCGAATTATTAATTTGTACTCGGCAGGTTGTATTTGTTTTTGCGTTTGCAGCAAACTCAAGAGCATCTTAAGTTTGACGAGTAGCCAAATTAGGAGCTCGTCATATCAGCGCTTCTACTATTTGTTTGTACATCACAGAACATGCAATTGTTCTGCCCATACGTTAAGTCTGCGAACATGTAAAAGTTCGTAGGTCAAACATATACATCAAGTACCGTAGGTCGGGCGAAAGAAAAAGGCCTGGCGCGACGACCCGTATCGTTTATTTGATTTCGGGGCTCGCGTTTGATGCACACAGAGTTAACGTACCTACGAAACATTATAGGCCTGCTGTCACTTGACGCATCCTAAGATGGCAAAAAGCATTTTACGGTCAACAGATCCAGCCACTCCTTTGGGCTGCGTAGATAAACTGGGTTTTCAACAGGAAAGTTGGTTCGAGTGCCATCATAAACGAATTAGCTATCAAGGAAATTCACTTCTACACATGCACTATGCATGAAACAACCGCAATGTTTGTATTGGCAAACATTGCGGGTGTTCATTGAATTGTTTGGATCATAGTAACATGTGGCCGCTATTGTTTTGACGGCCTTTGTTTCTATAGTCGACCTAATGCGAAAAAACCTAGACATAATTTTTCGTACCTAATGCCAGTGTACGTACATCAAAATGGGGTATTTCCGTTGACGTTAGTGTTTCTTCTTGGTTCTATTATTTATTGCTAATTAAATCGAATCTATAAGTAAGCACGCCTTTCTGTTTACTTTCGAAGCGCAGTACACACAAACATGCACAAGGCAAAGAGAATTTTCCATTTTAGTCAGACATATTTAATAATTTTGAGCCTAGACCACTAACAAATGCCTCGATTGTTACTTCAAAAACAACTTTGTTAAGTATTTTATTAGAGGGCGGCTCTTTCTATAACGCCAAAGGCGGAGCACACAGTTTCTACTGGCGGTCTTGAATTTTCACCTCTTCATAAGCAGACACGTCATCGACGCACCACTATAAGGGTTCGCTAGACAGGCGACTGAAAACACTTTACAGTACATATCAGATTCTACCAGCGCCTTAATTAAGCGTTGCTGCTACGTGCGGCCGGCGGCGGTCACCTTCCAGTAGCACAAAATCAATTTCGTGTCTATGCTCGATTTAGAATTTAGTCTGCCCCTATAGGTGTTTCCCCGGCCCAGTAGATACAAACACGTTACCTGTACGCCATGTTTATACCACTAAATAAACAAATGCTTTAAATTTTACGCCCGGCGGTGTCCATGGTAAGCGTTCATGTTTCAAGGGCGGTCGATTGGTTCCCTTTTGCCAGAGCGAAATTAATCCTGTGTCGGGCTACGGGGCCCGGTTTCGAACTAGATTTCACCTTGTCACTATCTGTCACTAAGTTTAATAAGCGCTAGACCACCTATTAATTAAAAGACACTATTAATATTATTATAGATTGCGCTAATCTTCATGTTAACAAACGCTATTCGTATTGTCGCTAGGAATGCGGTGTCCACCGCCAACAGCCCTTAAGTTGATGGCGCACAGCCCTCATCCATGGAAAGGCATCTTGGACCTATGACCTTTTTTGCCTAGCACTGTATAATAATAGTACAGCCAGCCTTTAGGCATTTTCAGGAACGAACCAAATGTGATTTTCTTGTCTAATAATAATAATTCGCTGTCCGGTTTGTAACACCGATTTGACAGTGAAACCGTTGGTAGACTAGAATGTAGCATAGCGAGTTAGCTACCCAGTACGACATAAATAGCAGTCGACCCAAAAGAAAGTCCTTGTTCTATCCTCGCCATCACTGCGACATTAATGTACGCAAATAGCTGAAACGGGCTGCCCGCTAATCATGCGGTTCACACGCATCTGAGTATGCGCTTCGCGACTAGTCGCAGCTGAAGTCTTGTCACTGACACAATGTCAGTCAGATCAAAGCGCTGACAAAAGTCACATTTATCAGAACTACGTCAGGTGACAAAACGGAACGGTGTTTGATTCGCTTTATAAATACCTGAGATCTAACAAGCAATGTCTGAGAAAAAAGCTTTACGACAATGGCAAATTGTGCCGTCTGTAATAAAATAACTACTTATCTAAATGCTTCGAAGGACATCTGGTATAGACTGGTCGTATTTGTTAGAGTTTAGCTGTTCAATAATAACAAGTTTCAAGTCGCAAATACCACTAGCTATGGGTCAGATGAGATTTAAAGCAAAATAAAGTCAAACACTGTTGTCTTCAGCTTTAGACATACAAACATTTCAGTCTTTCTTCTTCTACAGCAAAGTTTGACATTAAATTATACCACCTATCACTACAGTATTTCAATTCTATTCATTAGATATATATATATATATATTTTGTATTTTTGGCTAGTAGTAAGTAGAAAGATACATTTCGTCTTTTTCACAAATCGACTATGTTTATATGCACCGTGTCAAAAATACGGCAATGCGAACTCGCAAAATTCAATCCACTGATGATATCTCCAGCAATAGGCCTCGAGAACCCGATGCCGAAAGCTTTGGTTTTCGAAGAGGGAAAGAGAGAACATTTGCCAGGCCATATTTTCTTTTTTCTGGATGCTCTCCACTCTGATCCTTGCAGAGACAGTCTGATATCCGCTCCACCCCCTCAACTGTGTTGTATTCTACGACCGTTTTTATTCGTCTAAGCCCCCTATACTGCCTGGTATAGTGCAAAAGAGACCCCCGGGTTCCAGTCACCCATATATACTTCGCACAGTTCAGCAGCAGCAGCAGCAGCACCGATGCCCTTGAATATTGCGATGTTACAAGCCCCTAGTGGCTGTCTCTGTCGTCTGCTTTTGTTGAAATGCCTTCCTAGAAAAAGGTCCTACTCCTGTTGTTGTCGTCTGCTAATCGTCTGCTATAGAATCACGTGGCCCACTTCTTAACACTATGATTTGCTGTGAGAAGCTATTCGATAGTAAACAGATTTGCTTTAAAAGAAATGCTTGAGCAATGATTGGGGATGACGTGTTGCTAGCATGGTATTGTATGCAACGGTATTGTAGCATGAAAAGAAAAAAGAAGTAACGCCTAACAGTT